GATCAGCCTTCGATCTTAATAAATCTACACATTGAGTTAGTATTTCTTGTTCCTTTATTCTTAGATCTAATGGTGTTAGATATTTAGATGATATATTTGTAGTCAATATGTTTTCTGTTTCAATTGTTGTAAAGAATCTATATTGTTTTTAATATTCAAATGTTTGAAGTTTTGGAAAATAACATCGAGCAACCTAAGTCGTCAAGAGACAAGGTCTTCGAGAGGGTTATTTTGGTTTGGTAAGGGGATAGGCACTAAAGGAGGGGTAAGTTCCGATTTCTGCCTTGTAATGCCTATAGTGGCATATACACTATTACAATGGGATGACTCAGTGTCATCATGGTTACTAGGTACTAGCACGGTTGGTAAATTGGTAGTGCAAATATAGGAAAAAAGTGGTGTTACTGCTGACCATAGGGGCACAGATGTTGAGACCTGCGGGAAGAAGACTTATACGAAGGTATTGGTGGCAGAGGAGGTAATCTAGTGGTTGACACTGTCGTCGCATATACTGGTACTTGGAAATGAAACTTAATATATGACGGTATGCCAAGGGGAACTGTAGCAGGAGGTCTTATCACCAACGAGCTAGGAGCACCAGTTGTTGCATTTGCATAATACTATCGGAGGGTCTGGACTTCTTGATTCTCCCTATGATTCTGGTCGCTTAGTCGAGCGATTTCCTGCCTTGCAACAGCTAATTCAGCTTGCATCTGGGTGAACTGGTCACTTCCAAAGCTTGTCATCCTGTGAAACAATGATAACCTATTCTACGAAGAAAGCTAATAGTAGCAGGTGTTTATTTCAAACGTGATCTCTAACTGGGGCCTTATGGTGGGGCGCCAAACTCTTTATGCCAAAAACTACACCAAATATAATTTAAGGTTTGTTTGTAGAGCTTTGACAATTAAAGATCAATCATTTTGAAATAAACACTCGAAACAAAAAAAAAAGCAATCAAAAGAGATAAAACAATTGATGACGCGGAAAAACCCTTAAACGAGGGGAAAAATCGCAAACAATATTGCAGATCGTCGATACACTATGGACGTCAATCAGGGTAATCGTCCTTTGTGATAGTAGTTAAAAGTAAAGACGTGTGTCGGTCGTAGAAAATAACAATAAAGTATGTAATAATTTTGCTTCATAGCTTTCGCATGCGATGTACTCTGATGATCCGGGGGGTGTTTCCTGTGATCTTCTAGTCTTTTATAAGTGATTTGTTGGAGTGATCCAATAGTCGACTTTTAATGAGCTTTAACGGAGAAAATGGTTAGACTTAATTGTCTTGAATCTTTGCCTTCCGTTATGATCTTCACGGTTAACAGTCAGATTGTCTTTATTCCTGCAGTAAGAACCACGAATAACAGATGTCGTAATTAATATGCAGTTTCATGCATCGTTAGTATGATATATCGTGAGAAATACCGAACGTGGATTGGAATCTTCGACCAAAGGTCATAGGTCTTATGGCCATAGATAACCACGACCATACATAGTAAGATCGTTGGTCTTATGAATATGTGTTATGGACATGAGGGTCGTAGAAAATATCTTCATCGATCAAGGATAAGAATTTTTACCAAAACAACTGCATAAAGGAATAATAAAAAAAACCAGCGCTCTCCATATATATTCTGATAAGATAAGAAGAGAAGACTCGTATAAACCCATTGATTGAAACCGACGGAGTTAGGGAACTTAGAGGGTCAAGAGTCTCACCGACACCCTACCAATTTCCCATCCACCTTTACGAAATCCAACAATTACTTCAACAAGCTCGGTTTCAACAAGTTTCTCATAAAACGGCCTTTAGTATATAACTTGCTAGTTCTTACAAATCTCACGAAAAACCTACCTCATTCTTTTTTCTTACCTTTACGGATACGAATGAAACTAGAAACTGAAATAACGTTAAATCCCAAATGAGGGGCAAGTCATTAATCATCGATAGAAGGACGGGTGTTGTTAGGCAGTCTTTGACCATGAACGAATGAAGTAAACAAATGTAGTGCACGCGATGGCTGAGCATACGGCACCATATGAGCAGCACCTCTTACCGTTGCAAAAGTTAATAGGTTCCCGTATTCAGTAACCCAACCTCCAACCTACACAGATTTCGACGTTTTTGGTTAAACTAGTAGATATTCAAGACGCAAGATGTATTGATCTTGAGCATTTTGATAATAATCTCAAGTTTAAATTTGAGAAAAAAATCACTTGTTGGACCATAAAAACCATTTTTCCCTTTGGGGTAGAGATACCCTTTCACCCCTCCTATGTGGGGTATACTGGGCTACTCTGGTTTACTTGTTGGAACATAAAAGGGCAAGAATGAAGTACCTGGCCCTTATGGAACCAAACCGCATATGGAACGGTAACTTTGAACTGCAAATCATGAGCCAATTCACGAACAAGTGTTCTTGATCCAAGCAACGGCACTACAGAATCTTGATCGCCGCTACAGAGTAGGCAATAGATCGTTAAACCGTTAATCAGTAATGGTTTGTGCGGTTGTGTGTCTATGTGATCTAAAAACTTACCTGAAGATCCAAACTGGAATTTGGTTTCGAATGATTCGTTTAAGCAGGGGGAGAATGTCGATGTTTCCATCATTATCATTGTAATTCAGAACTCTGTTAAGACAACAAATTTCATCACCATTGAATGATCTACAGCACTTACAATTAAGGAAACAACCTCTCTAGCAAAGTTAAGGTTTGCGTACATCTTATCGCCAGACTGTACCTCCATGTGGGAAATACTGGGTTCGTTATAATTAAATCGAATGACTTACCCGCTGCACATAGTCCACGGATAAGGCAACTTGGTTCGATTAGCATGGAGAGCTCGTTGAACCTCAGGAAGGTTGAAATAGAAGCGTCGTTCAAGGCTCATGCACACATCGACTCCAAAGCTGATCTTGGTTGCCTTTTGAAAAATTAAACAAATCAAAAATGTTTCAAATCCATGAAGAGAAAGCAAACAAAAGGGTGAAAAAGTTACCGTTTTCTTCAACCGCAGCTCTTGTTCCACAAGAGACGGGTAGCATACATCAAGAATCACATCGTAGTTATTAATATACTCGCTAATTACGTTGTTTGCTTGAGAAATGGCATTATTGCATGCACCCGATTCATTGTGAGGGGAAGCGAACGTATAATCCTCAAAGTCGCAGTCTTTCATGATTGTAAGGCCTATCTCATCCGATATCATCCCATGTGACCAGTAGTACTCGTATACTGCTGGGACATCGCGTTCAAGTTTAAGAAGCGGGTTACCGATCTGATGCAAAAATGTTTTGGTAAATCATCACCCCAAACCAATCGCACACAATAACAAATAATCGGAACCAGAACATATTTAATTCACCAAGGACATTTCGCAAGCCGCCAAGCACATTTCCCAAGCCGACCCCTTAGAATCATGTTCAATTCAGAAAAAAACATGTTTCGCAAGTTGCGGAATCGACACTTACAAAACCTTGGGTATTTATAAGCTATGAAGCAGAGAGAGAGAGAGAGAGAAATCTTACAGCAACTCCTTTGATGTTGAACTTGAAATCAGTGGAATGTGCATTGTGGTCCAGAAGGGCAATAGCCAACTGTGGAATGTAATGCCCTATATGTAAAATCAACATAATTAACACTTATATTTATATAGACCCATGGTTGAACTAGTTCTTTTGTTATAGGTGAAGATATACAAGGGGCATAACATAATTGAGAAAAAGCATCCAAACATGGCCTAAAAATTACATACAATATGCCAAAGATACGATAAATGATTACCAGCATAACTTTCCCCTGTAAGATATAGATCTCTTGATTTAAAAGATGGAAACTTGGCGTACCAATTCAACAAGAAGGTATGCATATCCCTGGCTGTTCGTTCATAAGATAATAATCGATTGTTAGATTATATATATATATAGGTGGAGGTTCAAACGAGAACACCTCCATTTTACGAGAACGTGAGAACCCCCTCATCACATGTGTGTGTGTGCGCGCACGTGTTAATGACCGAAAAGAAATGACAAAGCAATTGGGTAAGTAAAGTTGATGTTACCCGTGTTGGCATCACCGGTGGTATAATCTGTAGTCGTGTTCGAGTAAGACCATCCTACCCCGGCTGGAGACTCCACGAACAACAAATTTGACACTAATTCACAACAGAAAACACTTTCACTGCTGAGAATCAAAAATCAAAATCTCCAAAACCAATTACATTCTTTTCTATCAACAATTTTTTCTAAAAGGTATATTATAACTATGAAGATATAAGGTAGTCTAAATACTTCTTTCAAAAAGGTAGTCTAAATACTCGAAATATCACACCTTCATTATGTTTGATAAATTAGTTATCTATCTATATCTATATCTATACTATATTATAAAACATTTAACAAAAACTCTTAAAAACCATCTTTTATACATGAAGTACTATGCTTATTGATGCATATTACTTAAGATTCAAAATTACAAGTAAATTGTACGTAAGTACAATTTATTACACTTCATGTTTTAATTCGTGTAACTAACTGTAGATAAATATAATCAAATCCAGAATAAAGTTCTTATTTTAAATATAAAATCTAAAATATAATTAGGATAATTATTGAGTTCTAACAGAATACTTAGTTATTATCTTTACAAAAATTATATTATTAAACCAAAAATGAATTATTTCGTCATTAAACCCGAATTAAATTATAATAAAAAATATTGAATTAAATAAATTACACAAAAAATAAGAATTTTTATATATTTTTTAATTTTTATGATATCTTCAAATTTATATTTTATTTAGAAAAACATTATTGATTGCTCAAAACCATATAAATTAGTATTATAACATCAACAGAGACCCAAAAAAACTGAAACATTGAAATCGAAATATATCTCGCTCCATTGTGCGAGTACCCTTCTAATTACCTTATAATTTTTTTGGTAGCTGATAAACTAATCATATTTGATAAAAAGTAACTGATAAGCTAGTTGAGAAATATAAAAGGATTAGAAAAGACATTTTAAAAATTAGTCAATCATAATATAACTAAAACAAATCACTAATAATATAATATGTAATTAATA